GATGCTCGCCGGAAGTGGTTGTTGCTGCGCTTGCAGAGGAGCGGTTCCGCTCGCCGCTGTGCTCGCCGCACTGTGCGACGGGGCCGTCTGTTTACCGTATTTAATGGTATCCTGTTGCGGTGCGCTTTGCGACTGCAGTTCCGGTCTTCGGAGGTAAGCGGCTGCCTCCTTTTTTGGCGGTACCACTGGCTTATTTGGTGGTACCGGGGGTGGTACGCCGCGCGAGATCGGTGGCTTTTTCGCGGGCAGGATACAACCGCCGCCGCTACCACCACTGGCGGCGGCGGCGGCAGAGGATGCTTGAACAGTGGGGCTTGCGGCAGGACTTGAAGATTGGCCAACGTGAAAACCGAGCTTCCCCGCAGTGGCGACGGCGGCTTGCGACGATGTGATAAGTTTAGCCGCGGCGGCAGCCGCAGTACTAACGGGCGCAGGTACAACTGGCTGTCGCTTCTCTACGGCCTGAGGAATGAACATACAACCATGACCGATTTCAGAGAGCCGAACAGCTGCAGAGACGGTCGCTTTCGTACACGCTCCGCCGCCAGACAAGAACGAGCACACCGTTAAAAAAATTTTATTCTCGGACTGCAAGGATGGAAGAAAAAGAACCATACCAAAGAACTAATCCAAAGCAGAGAGAGAAACAGAGACAGACTCGGTGGAAAGTAGGGACGATAGCTACGAAAAAATGATCAAAGACCGCAGAGGAGGAGAGAGAAACATCGTTATTTAAGCAGCAAACGATCACAACTTAGGCCGAGATTTTCGAGATGCTGAAATCAAATTGTGCGTATATCAACTTGTGCTGTTAATAGATAATTGCGAAGAAGCATCTTTTATACATACTCGCAAATCATCAGAGTAAGACGTATTTTGAGACGCAGTTTGAGTTACACAACCAAAGAATATATTAGTAAAACTTAATAGGTATTCAGAGTCTACACGAGATACAGAAAAGACTAATTTTTAAGAAATAAATATTTCACTCTGTAAACTGTATTGGGATGTTATTATATAACAATTCCAATTTTTTGGCCAAGTTCGTCTATTTGTTAAGATGTTGCAAACCAACTAAATAGTAGAGTACGTCAAAGTTCATGAGACCGTAAGACCGTATAATTTAGTAATTGCGATTACGCTATTGCGATTAGGAAGTCAAGCTGGGGCAATTTGTAAATAAAGCTCAGAAATGAGTTGCATACAATCTTTTTTTTAATTGTAGGAATCGGTCGATGTACACATGTGAAATAATAATAATCTTATGTACAGAAAATAAAAGTATCATAATAAAATATAACTCTAGATATCAATAATGTGCTAACTTATAAGATTGATATACATATAGTGGAAGTGTATGTAATATTGCGAGTGTATAATAATTGTTACATCAAAATTTTTAAATAAGTCGTGTATGTGAACGTGTATATAAAAGTATATACATGTATAATATAAAACAAATTTTGTTGAAAATAATCTTGTGGATATTTATAGTGATCTTATTTGTGAAGAAACGATTCTTAAACTTTAGTGCATGATTTGATGAAAATAGAAGTAGCGAGAATATAATTTGAAACAATGCGACAGAAATATCTTGTGCATCAAATATTAAATTATGTAGAAGCCAAGAGAATTATTCAAAGCAAGCGAAACTCACTTTTCTAATTTCATTTTTTAATTCATTTCGTTTCATTTCGTAAGTAATATTTAATATTATTCCATAATATAAATATTTCTGTATTGTTATATGATTTAACAGTGCAGAAATATTTCGTATCTTTGTTTTTTAGCCAAATGCAATATGCATAAAAGAACAAAATTGATGATTAAACGTAACCGAAATGTGTACGTGGTGTCTTTATCAGAAAAATTAATACATATAATAAATACATATAACATCTGCTTTTTTAAATTAAACAAAAAAAAATTAATTGTAATAGTTACATAGCAATAAATACATGACTAAAATGCGATTTATGATCTATAAAAATATGAAAATAAGGTAAATATAAGACTAGAGAGAAGCTTATAAAATGCTCGTAAAATTAATAATAACAAATACATTATTCTATTAAAGTAAAACTATGAGGTGATGTAATATATTATTCTTTAAATAGTTTAAATAACTCTTTTTATACATGATTCTCTCTGTTTCAATTGCAATACCAAAGATTATAAAATAGAGAACTCTTTCGAGAGAACTCTTTTTGAAAAAAGAAATGATTGAAAAATAAATATTTCAACTATTTTTATATTTTAAAGAGGTACAAATGTTTTGTTTTCTCAATCATTAATCAAGAATAAGATTTAATATCTGTATCAATGATACACTATGCGCAAAAAATTATTTTTATAAAAAAAAATTTCATGTATTTCTTGAATTATAAAGAGCCTACTTATGTTATTAATCTTTCTAATAAAATTTCATGTCATTTTAGAAGACAAGATCTTATCTGATACAATTTATGATGTATATTTTTTTTTCTTTTCAGAATCTATT